CCCCAAAACCCCAAAACCCCAAAACCCCAAAACCCCAAATAGCATAACTCTCGTTGAAAAGAGATCCCCTTGTATTAGGCATAAATCTTTTTATATTTACGATCCTTAAAGTGTTAAATTTGCCTTCTTTGGTTAAGGAATTTTCCAGCTCAGTCTCCTTATGAGCATTTACCGCAGCTTGAATTCTTGAATTTTATCATTAAGTATTTCTTGTATTTGCTTCTCTTTTATTATTCATCCTTTGGATCTGCTGGTCGATAACCTCTCTGACCTTGGACTTGACGTCTTTGTATTTCTTAAGCTTGAAATTTTCCAAAGAGTTCAGATTATTCATCTCCTAAACGGTCAAGCTGCAAGAGTACGTCTTTGTATTTAGCCAAGATGCTAGATGCCTTTGTCATCTGAATTGCTTTCTTGTACCGGCTCTTTGATTTCTATGGGTAAATAAGGATGTTACCTGCTGACTGTGAAACTCATACTTAGATATAGTCTCTCTTTCAGCTTTTGAGCCATACTCACCTGACATTAATTGTTTCATTGAGTTGTGATAACTAGAAGGTTAGTATATAAAGTGTACTCAACAGGTTTCCCGTAAGAAATAGTCATGTCAGCTTGAAATTTTAAATAATCCTTCTTTCTACCTCTTCTAACAGCTTGTCTGGGAGGCTCTTGCTGTTTTCTAAGGAGAGATAAGTCCTATAGAAATCAAGAGGGAACAATACCCTGGGATTTATGATCTTCTTATTTACATCCTACTTTATTCAACCTGATGTAGTCGATATTTGGCAGCTTCTCCTCTGAATGTATATGATTTGTCCAAGAATTAGTCACTAAAACTTATGAAAAGAGCTTACATTTCTTAATAGCATCTTTATCATATTTATTAGCCATTCCATAGGCATGATTGCCTCCAGGGAGATGCATTGTTGGGGGCCTACTCCTTCCCAATTTACCTCTTACCAAAAGGTAGTTATTGCCTTTTAGACCAAGTATCTTCTCCATATTAAAATTTTATTTTCAATTAGCCAGGAAAAGTTTGGGGTTTTGGGGTTTTGGGGTTTTGGGGTTTTGGGGTTTTGGGG